CCCAAGAGGTTGAGGTTGCTGTGAGCTATGATAATGCCATGGCACTCTACTCAGGGTGACAGGGTGAGACTCTATCTCAAAAAAAAAAAAAAAAATCTAGGGCAGTTTTGAGAATGGCCAGATAAATATGACCCTTACCAAGGAAAACTGAAGACTTGAGAACTTCATGTCTGTCAGAGGGAGAGAGAGACAATGGCATGCCAAGAAGAACACAGCATTTTCAACTGACAGTGACTGAGGCCAAGGCTCTCTGAGGATCTGTTGCCAATCCCACTGCTTAGGAAACTTTAAAAAGCGATGCAAAAATAGACCACAAAGGCAAAAACCACAAGCTGAGGCAAAAATGCAGTCAAAATTAAGATGAACAAATAGATAAACATCAAATGAGGGAATCCCCTCAGTGAAGAGCAAGGAGTCGCTGGGAGCCTGAGGAAGTCTGTCTTTTCCAGCCAGAGTCCTGTGCAGAGAGGTCACAGCTGGCACCAGGGAATACGCTGTGTTAGGAATTTGACACCATGAGGCCAAGACCGTGGAGGGCACAACACATCAGTGTTCTATTCATTATAAATCCATGCGGCTAATATAAGAAAATTCTGCCTCAGATATACAAGTTGGGCAGTGCTGGTTCGCTGCTGAGACCAAGGAGTGTTAAGTTAGGTGGCAAAGTTGCTCATTAGCAGAGAATGTGTCCAGGGGCATATCTGTTTGATGGAAAGGTCTCTTTTGGGTCCCAGGATCAAGGTGTTTCAGAGCAGCTGGCCATTTGCTGACATGTCACTTTCTCCTTTGGTCCGGGTGCAGGAGAGCCTGCCTGCCATCTCTGGAAGTACCTGAGAGTCATCTTGGATGGCTCGTTTTCTCTCATGCCCTTATGCAGAGTCCCCAGTCATCTTAATGTCTCTTTATCTTGTTTTCACTGCCGCTGACCTAGGTAGGCACCTTAGTGGGGGAAAGTTTGTTTGCATGATCCATGTGGAGATAAAAAAGAGAACTAACGGTGTTGGAGAGCATGTTTTTCATAAAGATTTGATCATTCCTTTTCAAGAACTCACTCTACAGTAAGGCCCTGTGTAGCTTTGGTGTGTTTAAATGGCCTTTCTTCATGAAATGTGGGTGGATCAGAGGGCAGTTTTGTTTTTAATGTTAAAAACCTTGTGCTGGTCCCAATTTTCTTTTTCTTCTGGTTTGTAAAATCTGTGAATATGGGAGCTACCCCCTGCCTGGGCCGTCACCCCCCGCTTTGGGCTCCTCGTGAAAACTCTGCTTTTCTTGGACATCACCTTTAGCCCTCATGTTCTCAGATGGGAGGCCCCTTGTCACGCAGCTCCCCTGCTGGGCATGCACTCCCACCCTCATCCCTGGTGGCCCGCCCAGCGTCCCCCCAACAGCACTCCACCAGCTGTTTCTGCCTGCGAGGGGCCTCAAGACCTAGCTCAGCCCCACCTGGATGTGGCTCTTCCCAGCATGAAAACATCTCTCTTTCTGCCCTGTATGGTCTGACCACTCACAGGGCACTTATTGTTAGCAATTAAATTTTCCCATGCTGACTCTGTTCCCCAGCCAGACTTCTCACTTTTGGCTGACTAGCCAGGCGGACGCTCTGAGGGCCCGCACACAGCAGTGCCTTTCCTGGCCTCCCCTGGGCAACTAACCCCTCCCACCCTGTCACTGCTTTCACTGAGATTCAGCAGCTTCGCGGAACGCACAGATGCAGAACTTTGGGGCTCAACTGGATGCTGGACCACTAAGATCCCAGCTTAACCCTCTGTCCTTCTAACTGTGCTCCCTGCAGAGGTGACTTGGATTTTTATTTCCCAAAGAACCAAAGGCTAATGAAAGAGGTCCTGGGCTGCGTCTCAGCACACTAAGCATCCTATGATACCAGATGCCGGCCCGGCAGGAAAGAGAGCCCCACAATAAACCAGTAAAAGAGCAAAGTCAAAGGTTGGAGAAATGCTTTCCTCGGGAGAAGGGTGAAGCCTCTGCTTTAGATTGAGTGGGGAGAGAAAATAAAAACCAGCAAAAGGGTTGCAAAGGGCAAGCCAGGAATAGCGGCAAGAATGAATCAGCAAGCTGATTGTAGGGGGCATCCTGTATAGAAAACAGAGTTCTCAGATTTAAATCAGCCACAGGGCAGGACGCAGTGGCTCACATCTGTGATCCCAGCACTCTGGAAGGCCAAGGCAGGTGATTGCCTGAGCTTAAGAGTTTGAGGCCAGCCTCGAGCAAGCGGGAGACCCCATCTCTACTAAAAATAGAAAAACTAGCTGGACATGGTGATGGGCACCTGTAGTCCCAACTACTCAGGAAGCTGAGACAGGAGGATCACTTGAGCCCAAGAGTTTGAGATTGCTGTTAGCTGTGACATCATGGCACTCTATCCAGGGTGACAGAGTGAGACTGTCCTCCCCAAAAGTATAATGAAATAAAATAAATCAGCCGTGGTGATTTACAGGAGGGTGAATGGACCTGAGGTCTGCTGCATAGAAGTTCCAGTTTCACCCAGTCAACAGAAAGTGAAGACCTGGTCAAGTCACTTGATCACGTCACATTTTCCTGTTTCCATCTCTGCAATGAGAGTGAGAGTGGCGGATGAATAATACAGTATAGAAGTTGTCTTTTCTATAGGTGTATTCAGAAAGGTGTTGATTTTTTTTTTTTAAAACCCAATAGCAGAGTCTTCACTCTGAAGTGTGATGCAGGAATTAGACCAAACTTAAAACTGGACTTTGCAGGCAGGTTTTGTCTGTAACTATGCAACTCTGCTACGCTTGCTGTATAAATAAACTGCTGAGTGTTCACTTCTTTCTTTTTTTTTTAATTTCAGATTAATAAGAGGTGTGATTGATTAGGTTAGGATGTTTGCATTTGTTAGATGAGGTCCCTGTTGTAGTTGTGTCCCGCACCCAGCAGGTGTGCCACGTACCATTACATTGTGCCCATTAAGTGGGCACTCATCATCCCCACCCTCCTCCCCTCTCCACCTCCCTCCACCTCCCCCTTCTTGAATTAAATTGAGTTTTTCCTCCTGTGTATTAGATCATCTACAGGCTTCATATTAGTCTTGAGTACATTGGATTCTTGCTTTTCCATTCTTACGATACTTTACTGAGAAGAATGTACTTCAACTCCATCCAGGTTAAGACAACAGATGTAAAGTTTCCCATCTTTTTTATTGTATACATATGCCACAGTTCATTAATCCATTCCTGAGTTGATGGGTGTTTAGGTTGTTTCCATATCTTGATGATTGTAAATTGAGCTGTGATTAAAAAAATCTAGTGCAAATGTCCTTATGATAAAATGATTGTTTTTCTTCTGGGTAGATAGAAACATTTGCTTCTTTCAAGAGCAACTATTTCTTCGGTAAAGTGGTGACAGCAATAAACTTCCTACACCTCAATCTGCCAGGGGTTGGGGCTTGGTGGGAGGGGACGGGGTCTGCTTCCTCTCCCTAGCCCTGCCTCCTGTGAGGCCACACGATGATTAGACTCCATGGTGCGTCTGCTTTCTGGCTCTCCATCGCTGGCTTCTCCTTACTGAGCAGGTGGCAGGTTGTCAGACCACATGGGTCAAGCCCAGGGTCTGACCGATACTGTCTCCACTGAATTAGAAGGATCAGCTCCTCACTTGGGCACTGAGCAGACCCCCACTCCTCATCTGGCCCCCTTCTTCCGCTCCTCTCTCTACCATAGCATTGCCCTTGCTGAATCTTCTCTATCAACTGGAATCTCCTAATTATTAAACCAGTTTTCCAAAAGAATTTTACACTTAAAAACTCTGTAGCCTTTTATTCCCAAACATCACTGAAGCCCTTTTTCACTCCCCAGTGGCCTTCTCCTGCTGTTGGGATCTTCCACCATTTCCTTCCCGCCACTGGTGACTCCTGACCTTGTCCAAAAACGTCTCAGTCGTTTCTCTGCCAGCTCTGCGCCCGGACTTATTTTTACCAGGACAAGGTTCACGTCCCCATTTCACATCCTAGAATCTTTGATTAATGAAGCGACCTTAGTATTCACCTGAAAGCCAACCTTGAGGATACTGTCCCAAACAGATCTCTATTTTTCATCCTGAAATTTTGCATTTTTTTTTTGGCAATTCTTCAGGCAATTCTGACATTTTTGAACTTTTCTCTGGTGCTGCTACAAATAGAAAAACCACAAAAATTCAGTTCTTCAGTCAAACGCCATATCTATCACACACAAATAGGCATAGGACAGCTTTTAAAAGGACACCCTAATACTTAAATATAAGTTTCTCTTATGTTTATATGCTGAAAAGAGTATGTGCCTAACAAAGAGGCAAATAATCATTAAATTCAGGAAATAATGCATCTCATTTCAGTAAACATCATAAATCCTCGTTTAAGACATCATCCATTTTTGCAGTATCGGTGTGGACACACTAAGTTATCGTCACCACTGCCAACATTTAAGATCCAGTCTACCATTATAAAGTATGTCAATCACTAAGAAATAAAGTCTTTAAAAGACTTTTATTATATTGATTTGTTGACAATGCCTCAAGATATTAAAGGAATATTTTACATGTGCAAATATATACATGCAAATAGACATAATCTTCAACAAATTTTATATATATATATATATATATGACGTTGACATAGAGGGTGTAAGTTAGTAAAACTTTGAAAGCTGATGAGAGAGAATTAAATCTGCTTTGTAGAAAATATGGAGACATACTAAGGAATTTACAGCAAATTAGATGTGCAACAGGATTTTGGTCAAACTTCAGAGAATAATGTGCTGACATGGAGAGCTATTCTGTTTATTCTTGCTCTCACTGGTGAGGCTTTTCTATGTTTAATAGGTTTTTGGTTACTTGAGAGTGTGTTTGAAGGCTTTGCTCCATGTAGCTCGTGCACAAAGACAAACATTGTTCCACATTTGTGCAGCTAATATGGCGGCATATCATAGTCATAAGTTAAGAAGAGCCTCCAGTTTCCTGTTTAATAACAAGTCAATGCCTCTTTTATTTAGCTACGACAGTGAAGGTCGTCTGACAAATGTGACGTTCCCAACTGGAGTGGTCACAAACCTGCATGGGGACATGGACAAAGCCATCACGGTGGACATTGAATCATCCAGCCGAGACGAGGATGTCAGCATCACCTCTAATCTGTCCTCCATCGATTCTTTCTACACCATGGTTCAAGGTAAATACAAGAGCAGAATTTTAAACTGATAATTTCAAAATGCCACCAGCACCCAGGTAGAACGAGGCAACCCCCCATTCTCGAAGACAAACCAGAAAAGGGGGAAGTAAAAATAAAAACCTCTCGAGATATTAGTGAAGTAATCTAGAATGTACATGCAAAATTTATTTAGTTACACATATATTTTTAAAGAGCATAATATCTAAAATAATCTGTCAACCCAGGAATGATGTCTATTCCCATTCCCATTTAAGGAAACAACCTAATTCCAACTCATCACATGCACCCTCTGCCCCATGACCCATCTGACACGGTTCTCCAGGGAGTGTCACTGCATCGCCCTCTAAGTACAATAGTTTGAGACACAGAACTTTTTGAGTCTGTGTGTATAATGTAGTATTTCAATCTTTACATGATGGAAATTTTATTCTAATTTTCAAGGACTCATTTATATAATACCTGGACTCTATTTTCTCATTCCACCTATAGGCATATTTATCCAATATCACCATAATGAAACTTCCTGCCATATTCCTTTTTAAACAACTCTGTTAGCAATTCACAGTGATGTTTGTGGTTGTGAGGTCACAACTCAAAAGAATAATTACTAAATCTGTGTTAGGCTTCTTTGATTCTTTTTTTTTCCCATTCCATCAAGTAATCTTCATGACCATCTAAAGCTGATCTTGCCTCACTTCTTTCTTCCCCTGATGGTTCTGTATTTTTCCAAAATTTTAAACAGTAGTCTACAATACACGAAGGTTTTCTACCCAAAATATAAAATGGCTTGCTTTTAAAAAGTCGATTTCAGGGGGAATATCCCTTCATACTTTTGGTGTTCAAGGTATAGATACCAATCCTCTGAAAGGATCTGTGGCAAAAGAGCTAGGGATGGCAGTGGGGGAGGGAAGTCTTCTGAGACCTTGCAGGTGGGCATACTTGCCTCCTGAAACACTGTATACTTGGCTCTTCATGGAATATTTATCTAATCCACATCCTGTGGAGACTGAGCCCTCATTTCCTCAGGAAAATGGGAAGAAGAAATCTATTCAGTTAGGAGACTTTCAATGGCCTGAACTCCCGTTAGTGTGAAGCAAACCTCTGACAACATGCAATGCCAAAAATCAAAGTGGCGTCTGCACCTTCTAAAAGAACATGGCGACCTATCACCATTTCAAAAAGTTCTGGCACACCTATCTGTTTAATCCACAGCTGGTGCTTACGCTGTCTGCTTCTTGCTTTTAGATCAACTAAGAAACAGCTACCAGGTTGGCTACGACGGCTCCCTTAGAATCATCTACGCCAGTGGCCTGGATTCACATTACCAGACAGAGCCGCACATCCTGGCCGGCACGGCCAACCCAACGGTTGCCAAAAGAAACATGACACTTCCTGGGGAGAACGGTCAAAATTTGGTGGAATGGAGATTCCGGAAAGAACAAGCCCAAGGGAAAGTCAACGTCTTTGGCCGAAAGCTCAGGGTAACTGTCACCAATATCTCACCATAACTAAATTTCCTGCCATCTTCCTTTTTTAAATGAATCTTCAAAAGGCCAATTTGCAATGATGTGTACAATTGTGAGGTCACAACTCAAAGAAAAATTACTAAATGTATGTTAAATGGCCACAGCCCTCTGTGTCTGGTGGGTGGCCTACGTACCCTGTCCTGTCTCCCCTATGAGTGCTGTGCCTGAGCCTGAATTACACCAGCCACCACACCATTAAGATCACTGGTGATAAAAACCACTTATTTGAGAGAATGTTTTCCTCAATAGATTTATGATTTAAAAATAAATTCTTCCCTGGGAAATTAGAAACTTGTGTAGAGCATAATCGCAAATGGCCAGGATTTTCATTTCACTCATATTATCTTCATAACCATCTGTGTTTTCCTTGGCCTGTGCATTGGCCATTAGGACTGATAGCTTCTAAATGTGAACGTGACATAAGAAAGAATTGGTTTAAATATGAACAGTTTTTAAATCATAAATACACGTATTAAAAGAGATAGACTGGCCCTTGAAAGATGACTTCTTTCTTGGCATTCTCAATTTTTTTTTTTTTAAGACAAGAGTCTGTCTCTGTCACCCTGAGTAGAGTACTGTGGCATCACAGCTCACAGCAATCCCAAACTTTTGGGCTTAAGCGATCCTCCTGCATCAGCCTCCTGAGTAACCGGGACTTTACAGACACCTGCCACCACACCCAGCTATTTTTTCTATTTTTAGTAGATACCAGGGTCTCATTCTTCCTCAGGCTGGTCTGGAACTCCTGAGCTCAAGGGATCCTCCCCACAGCCTCCCAGAGTGCTGGGATTATAGGCGTGAGCCACCACAACTCACCTCAGTATTTTAAAACTACAGTTTAGGTACACAGAAAAGGGCAAACCTGAGACCCTAACTGCTGCCTCTTCTCCATTGATGGAAATGCCAATCTATATTACTTTTATAAGAAATGTGATATTCTGATTATGCTAGTATAATTGAGCTTTGGAAAATGTTCTCTGCAATCCCTCTTTATGTGTTTTTTTTTAATCCAACTTATATTGTGAGCCATATCTATCTAGGCATATGAAGGGAAGCTGTGATTTATGATAGCTATTCAGTAAAGACAATGTTGATTAAATACTAAAAAACAGGTTGCAAGAAATCACCTTCAACCATCATAAACTGAGCCTGATTCATTCTTTCTGTTAGTAAGCAAATTTTAGTTTATCACATAAATTAGGAAATTCTTCCCAACATTACTTCTCTTACCATTTAAAAAGAATTACTGGCCGGGCATGGTCGCTCAAGCCGGTAGTCCCAGCACTCTGGAAGGCCGAGGCAGATGGATAGCTTGAGCTCAGGAGTTAGACACCAGCCAGAGCAAGAGCAAGACTCCATATCTACTAAAAATAGAAAAACTAGCCAGGTGTGGTGTTGGGCACCTGTGGTTCCAGCTACTCGGGAGACTGAGACAAGAGGATCACTTGAGCCCAGGAGTTTGAGGTTGCTGTGAGCTATGATACCACCGCACTCTATCTAGGGTAATAAAGTGAAATTGTCTCAAAAAAAATTACTTAAAATTAAAGAGAAAGGACAAAACATGGGGTTCACTGTTAATGTTATTTTCCTGTACCCAAATGATTAAATCATTACCCTAACAAGCCAACATTATTGAACTTGGTGATCTTTCAGGGTAAGAAAACAGATACCAAATAATGTCTGTCTAGAGCAATGAAGTTAAAAAAAGAATCCGTCAACACAGGCTGGGTCTGACTCATAGGCTATATTCTGATTCTGCTTCGATTGTAAGGCAGATGTTTGGGTCTCTACATCTATGGTCTTCTGGGACCAAGGCTGTGTGTTCCCTCCAACCTCCTCACATGCTGTGACAACAGGATGACCTAGTCTCCATCCTACGTGGTTCCGGCTGGCTAGCTGCCACTGGGGAGGCTGGAGGGAGGTCAGCTTGTGAGACAGCTGAGAAGAAAAAACTGCAGGGCAGTAGAAGGAGAATGAGATGGGGGTGAATGAGGTAATGGGCAAGAAAACAAGCTCCAGGCACCTTCCAGGTCACTTTCCTGGCGTCCTGCTTTACCTCCAAAGTGACCCCTGGTCCTGCCTTCCCTTGACTAAAAAGCCTCCACTGCTGTGTCCACTTCTATGGCCTCCACGTACTGCCCCCTCCCAGGGCCTCTGCTGCGGGGCCACTATATAGACAAAGCTAGTTTGTGGGCGTTTCCCCTGAAGCAGGAATATTGCGTGCACGCAAACAAATACACACACATGTGCACACACAACACACAGCATCACACGTCTTCCTGGACATGGGACTTCAACAAAAGAGAGCCATTCCTCTAAGCATGGAGAAACAACGCCCGTACTCAATACGAAATTGGAACTGATCAGTCAACACTCACACGCACATATAGACATAAATCTCAATGAAAATCCAGGTGGAGGGACAGGGAGGAGAGGATGGGTGAACTCACACCTGTGGGTACAGTCCAGACCGTCTGGGTGAAGGGCACACTTACATGTATAACTTTAACTCAATCTGTACAAACAGTATGTAAACAAAACAAGGGTTTTGAAATTAAATCCCCTACCATTCTGAAATTAAAAAGATCAAAACAATAAGAAAAAAATGAAAGTTAGACAATAAAAATGACAGAGACACACTGATACTATTCACATCTGTTCTCCTAACTCCGCAGAGCAAAGACAACATAGCCCTTAACTAGAATGTTAAGAAAATACATGTTTGAGATGAGAATCCACTTTGTTCCAACAGTAAACCTACAGGAAAATTAGAACATCTCTGAATCTGTCTCTTTTTTTCTTTTTCTTTTGAGACAGAATCTCAACTCTGTCACCCTAGGTAGAGTGTCATGGCATCATCATAGCTCACAGTAACCCCAAACTCCTGGGCTCAAGCCATCCTCCTGCCTCAGCCTCCCAAGGAGCTGGGACTACAGGTGCCTGCCACCATGGCCAGCTAGTTTTTCTATTTTTAGCAGAGATGGGGTCTCTTGTTCAGGCTGGTCTCCCAACTCTTGAGCTCATGCAATCCACGCACCTGGAAACATGCCTTCCCCAGTTTCCTTATCTGTGTATATCATGGTATCTGTATTGTAACAGATTACATAATATTACCTAGGTCATATCATAACATTATGACATAGATATGACAGAGAGAGAGAGCTATACCACAGGTCAATGAAATTTTCCCTCTATTGCATGCAATTGTTATAAGAATCAAATGAGACAACGTGAAAATAGTTTGAAAATCCAAGGATGATTATGTATTCCCTAACCTTGCCCCAGTCACCTCCGCTGTGTACGGAAACATTGGGCATTTCCACTTGCACAGCAGACGACCAGAAAGGAACCGCGCAGCATGCTAGAGAGAGACGGTCAGTGGACAGAGGGAAGAGCGGGAAGTACTTTGTCCAGAAACTGACCATGAAAAGAAGTCGGGCAGAGTAGAAGGAGAGAAAGGAAACTCAGTCTTACATCTCTGGTTCTCTGCCTCTCCCTCAGTGAAGAAAATACCACACTCATAAGGGGAAAAGTGACTAGAATACACAGGCCCGGGTATTATCTTCTTTCCAAGTGACAGAACCACAAGGCCACAGTGAGACATGTCAGAAAATAAACTATTTAAAATGGCCCGTGCGGTCCCCTGAAAGGAGGCTTCCAGCTGATGTGTTTGATTGCTCTGGCAGAGACATTGGTGCCATCGCCAGGGAGGGTTCCCTCCTCCTCCCAAAGATGAGATTAGACCTGCCAGCTCTGACTGCTAATTTTGTTCCTCTGTGGATTCTAAGAGAGAAATTCTGGGAATAAAGTGATGATATGAAAATCTGGCGTGAGGACTGAGCCTGGAGTCTGGCACAGTGGGAGAAAAGGGAGAGGGGGGCCCCCCATGGCAGGAGGGTGAGCCCAAGGGCCAGACAGTCCCCTTTCCTGAGACATAGATGGCCCTTCTCATTTTGTCATCCATTGGTTCCCAGCACAAAGTGGTTTTTGTTTTTAAAGTATTGACCTAAGTTTAGCTATATGCCTGTTACATGATGGGCACTCAAATATTTATCGAATAAACGAAAGAATGAGGAAAGCCAGCATGACAGTGTGGGTTCTATTTCATTGCATCCAGATCTTTCTTTTCTTTCTCTCTCTCTCTCTTTTTTTTTTTTTTTTTGAGACAGAGCCTCACTCTGTCACCCTGGTAGAATGCTATAGCATTATCATAGTTCACAGCCACCTCAAATTCCTGGGCTTAAGTGATCCTCCTGCCTCAGCTCCCAAGTAGCTGGGACTACAGGTGACCCACCACCACACTTGGCTAGTTTTTCTATTTTTAGTAGACACAGGCTCTGGCTCTCTTGGCTCAGGCTGGAGATCCAGATCTTTCTAAGAGAGGGACTACATGCATAGCACACCCTTGCAAATGTTTAACCACTATAAATAAACTTAAAGATAGATATAATGGGTTAAATAGAGATATGTGTGTACATATATATGTATAAAAAAATAGAAATAAAAAAGGCAGGGAGTAGAGACTGGGTGCGGTGGCTCATGCCTATAAACTCAGCACTCTGGGAGGCCCATTTGGGCAGATTATCTGAGCTCAGGAGTTCAAGACCAGCCTGAGCAAGAACAAGACCCCATTTCGACTAAGATAGAAAAACTACTGGGGGGATGGTGGGGGGCGCCTATAGTCCCAGCTACTCAAGAGACTGAGGCAGGAGGATTGCTTGAGCCCAGGAGTTTGAGGTTACAGTGAGCTATAATGCCACAGTATTCTACCCAGGGTGACAGAGTGAGACTGTCTCAAAAAAAAATTTTTTTCCATGACATGTGTGGTCAGTCAGGACTAGTCCCTCACTGCTGCGCTTCGTTTACCATCTCCAAGGGAGACCGTCCAGGCAAGTTGGAAGGGGTAGAATATATGTGCTGTCTGTGCGTGGCTTTTGAAATTGTACTCATGGAGTAACAGTGGCTGGGTAGTAAGTAAGAGAAGCCTCGGGCGGGGGGGGGGTGGGGAGCATGGCCACATTCCAGGTCTTTCCTGTTCACTCATGGAGTAACAGTGGCTGGGACCCGGGGACAGTAAGAGAAGCCTCGGGCAGAGGGGAGGAGCATGGCCACATTCCAGGTCTTTCCTGATCACTTCAGTCTGAGCATCCCAGAAGGACGTCAGGTGCAGTCTTTGTCTGAATGGAGAAAAATGTGTACTCTGTCCAGATGTTAGTCTCACGGGGCTTCCAGATGCTTCTGTGTGGGGACACGTTGGTGTGGGACTGACACAGCAGCAATAGCAGAGACTCCACCCAGCTTCTGTGGGGCCATTTCCATGTCACCGAGCCACACTCACAAACCCAGATTTCTCCCACTGTAATGGGAGGAAATATTGCAAATATAAATGCAAGCTGAGGGAAGCAGTAAGGAACTGAACCGAAAATTAAAACAAGTGCAAAGGAAAAGAAAGATGTGGTGATAATGTGGGCAGCACTGTCCACGGAAGCGACAGGCTTTCAGAATTATTTGAAACCTGGAATAATTTAAGGAATTAAAAAGAAGGCAAAGCTAAACATGCAGAGTTTTTATTTCTTTTTAAAATAAAATCAGAGAGACCAGCGACCTAAGAAAACCATTTAAATTGTGTAAAACCTCTTCCTAAAGCCTCAGAAAACATAGTGTAGCCTGATGTCTCACGTCTGTGATCTCAGCCCTCTGGGAGGCTGAGGCAGGTGAGTGGATCACTTGAGCTGAGGAGTTTTAGACCAGCCTTAGCAAGAGTGAGACCCCGTCTCCACTAAAAAGATAGAAAAACTAGCCAAGCATGGTGGTGGGCACCTGTAGTCCCAGCTGCTTGGGAGACTGAGGCAGGAGGATCTCTTGAGCCCAAGAGATTAAGGTTGCTGTGAGCTATGATGCCACTGCAGTCTAGCCAGGGCAACAGAGTGAGACTCTATCTAAAAAAAAAAAAATTAGCACAAAATATAAATTGAAGAACTTGATTCTGCCAGTTAGCAAGTTAATTTGCTACTGGCAGATTTGTTCTACTCTTTCTAGATTTGGAACATTAGTGAACAGCTTCTTTTCTAAAGCAATACAAAGTGTTCTGCAAAGCTAGACTCAAAAATTTCACAAAATTCATAGCAAGTGGGGAGCAATTACTAATACATGCAGACTTGCCGCATGGGAAAGTGGAAGGTCAGGAAGCCTCCAGCTGCCCGGTCAAGGTCAAGTCAAATCGCTGAAAGACAGAACCCAAGGGATGTCCTCCAGCCTCCTACAGACAGGCAGAACGAATCAGAGGGGTCAAAACCCCAAAGTCATGCTGCTTCGCAGCCCTGTCAGTATGGAGTTCAGGTGATTTGACCCCTACATTTCTTCCCCAACCCCTAAAGCCCCCGCCCCCTGCATCTGCCCAGTATTGTAGGGTTTCCCCACATTACTTAGATCTGACAAGACAGGACTGAAAAACCAAGACCTCCTAATTTACACCCAGGGCTCCACCCTTCCTCATTTTTATGTAAATCATTTCCAGGGGTTTCTCCCTCAGTGTCACTTCTTTTTAGCTCAGTGTCACCTTCCTGTGGATGTCACAGTCCTCCCTTTGAACAGCTAATGGGAAAAGGTTAAGCCTAAGGAGTGTTTTAGCACGGGACATGCTTAATGTCAGTGACAGAATGCAAAAACCAGTTTTATCCCAATGTCACACACAGATATAGGCATATCACATAGGTACACATACAGATGTGTACATACATATACAAATGTGAGTGGTGTGTATATAAAATACATACAGAGGTTGCAAAAAATATATATACACATTTTAAGAAAAGAAAAAAGTATTAAAATTGTAATACTCAATACATAGTGATAAGGAAAGATGAACACAAGTCATACTGAACATCTCTTATAACTGCAGAAGTCAAACATAACTTGAGTATTACAATTTTAAGGTTGTTTTTCCCTTTCTTAAAATGTGTATACATTTTTGGGGTGCCTTCTGTGCATATGTAAAATTGATCAAGGAGAGCTGTGGATTTTGAAGATTCTGGCTAGGATGTGTTTACATAACATTAAGATTTTCCCACTTAATTTTTAACAATGCAAACAGTTAATGAACTTTTTAGAATATGCAAACCTCCAGCCCCAGAACAGTGCTGGTGAAGACTGAACAGGCCGTGGTCTGAGCCCTTCACTGGCCAATGGACACTTGTAGGGCCAGTGTTTTTCCACCTTTTTTATCTCACAGCACACTTGAACCTATGGTTAAACTTCCATGGCACATTTAAATTATGTTAGCCAAAAAAAAAGAATATACTTCCTGTGCTTTGAACTTCTTTCGAAAATAATTTAAAGAATGATCTTTAAAATTTTTCACAGCACATCAGGGTGCCATAGCACACCGGTTGAAAATCACTGGTGTAGACTATTTGGAAAGTAGAACTTAATTGGGGTCACGTTCCCACTGCAGTGATGAACGTGGGTTTGTGTGTGACGGCCAGAGTTAGTCTAAGACTCTGGACATGGCACCTAGCCATACAGAGATGCCAACACAATAGCAGCCCCTGGATTTGTAAGCTAACTACAGTATTCAATCTGCGAGACACGGCAGGTAAGCAAGCTCAAGTCCCTACCAGGTAACCAGATCTGATCAGGAAGAAGACATTCTAAAAAATCATGGCATTTCAGCACTGAGCCCAAAGCAATGATCATGTTTGTAACCTGCTGCTGTTTAAGCTCATTAATAATTTACAGTAATGTGAGTTCCAGCTTCTACTAACTGCTCTTCAAAGGGTTAGAGTCACATTTACCCCTGCGTTTATTTAATGCAGCCATGATTAATTTACCAAGCCACGATTTCCTAATGTCTTCTTGGGGGAGGAGCTTGGAGTCATTTACCTGCTTATCACCTTCAGATCTTTCAGACAAACTTTAAAGCAAATACACATTAGTGTTTTTTTACCAACTATTTTCGTTTACAGCATTTAATTGGAAAGGTTTTGAGCAAATGCCAGGCAGTCTTTCTGCTTAATAAAACCTTTTAAAAGAGCAGTTAATCTACTGCTTTGCACCAGTACCCAACAAGTTGCTAAATTAATTTACTGACAAAGAGGATCAATCATCATAAGTGGTGTTTAAACAATACTGGGGACTCAGAAGAGTAATCAGGGACCAGTGCTGGGACAGCATGATTCATTTTATCATCTCGTTGGTGTTGTCACAGGTTAACGGCAGAAACCTCCTCTCTGTTGACTTTGATCGAACAACAAAGACAGAAAAGATCTATGACGACCACCGTAAATTCCTGCTGCGGATCGCCTATGACACATCCGGCCACCCCACTCTCTGGCTGCCCAGCAGCAAGCTGATGGCCGTCAACGTCACCTACTCGTCCACAGGCCAAATTGCCAGCATCCAGAGAGGCACCACCAGCGAGAAAGTGGATTATGACGGGCAGGGGAGGATTGTATCCCGAGTCTTTGCAGACGGGAAAATGTGGAGTTACACCTACTTAGAAAAGGTACACTGGATGCTCAGGGTGACAGGGTGACTAGTATTTCCCAGCATGCAAGAAAACCAGTGCCACACGACTGCATTCCATTTATTATTCTAAGTACCGATACGGAAGTCACACTGGCACAGCCGTGATGAATCTCTGCATTAGCAAAGTCGTTTCTCCTTAGTTAAGTTCCACTATCTGAGACCCTTTTAAGTGACAGGCACTGACACTGTCCAGCTGCCAAGCACAGCCGCTGACAGCGTTCACAAGTGAGGCCTTGAGCATGGCAGCTGCTTGTAAATAACTCCTGTGTCAGCTCTTTCTTTTCTGAAAGAGCCCCTGCCTTCGCACAGGGGAGGCTGATGATTTTGTGTTGTTCCTACCATAGCGTCAGCGTACTCATAAAAAGCTTGTGAATCCCGTTAAAGCAGCAGTTCTCAACCTGTGGGTCTCAACCCACAGGAACTATTAAAGGGCCATGGCATTAAGAAGGTTGAGAACCACTGCGTTAAAGCATTATTAACCAAAAGAGGTGATTTTCTTTGGAAGCCACGCTTTGGGTGGCCTCCCTCCTTTACTGCACACGGAATAGGGAAGCTTGCTAGTTCAGGCATTTCCCCTTTCTTAAGAACTGTGCCCGATACCAAGAATGGAGACCTGGGCAGGGTGCAGTGGCCCACGCCTGTAATCCCAACACTCTGAGAGGCTGAACTGATAGATTGCTGAGGCTTAGGAGGTGGAGACCAGCCTGAACGAGAGTGAGACCCTGTCTTCACTAAAAACAGAAAAAATTAGCCAGGTGTTGTGGCACACAGTGTAGTCCAGGCTACTTGGGAGACTGAGGCAGGAGGATTGTGTGAGCCCAGGAGTTTGAGGTTGCTGTGAGCTAGGCTGATGCCACAGCACTCTAACCCAGGGTGACAGAGTGAGACTCTGTCTCAGAAAAAAAAAAGGAACAAGACCTTATCACACATGCATAAAATGCTAAATTATACAATGTGCAGCTTCAAGCACTGACTAGGATCCGAGGGAATGAAAGTGACGGGAAAGGAAGAGAAAGGAAATTGAGTATCCCTATAATTTCTTTCTAAAAACATATAATCCAGGGCGGTGCCTGTGGCTCAAAGGAATAGGGCGCCAGCCCCATATGCCAGAAGTGGTGGTTCAAACCCAGCCCCAGCCAAAAAATACATTTAATCCAGCAAACAGCATAAGCATGCCATCTTTTGTTTGCCTTAGAGATAAACGTTCCTGCTAGGAAAGGACTCGGTTTTGAGGTTCCATCCACCTCCCAGCTGAAAGCCAATTGCATAGTCACTGCCCCCACCCTCCTGACATCAGAAGTCATTCATTGTCACCCAAATGCACCACAGCCACAGCATTGCTGTGCTCACCTCACACACTCTTGTCCATTACCAGACCTATTCTAAGAACCTCCTGGTCCAAACCCAGCCCCCACCTGAGCTCTCCTGTCAGATCCCAGGAGGCCAAAGCTCACTATAGGGTGCTTCCCAACTCTGGAATCTTCCCAACAGGACCCTTCCGGCCAGTCCAGCCTCTTGATACTCACCATTTCTGCTGTCCTTGCAAGAGATTTCTCCTTGAGACCTTGGGCTGTGACTGTTAGATGACAAGCTCCTTCCATGCTGATCACCCCACTCTCCAGGAGGTCATTCAGCAGGTCATTTGTTGAGGCCTTTCTGGGAACCAGTCCTAACACCTAACACGCAGTTCAGCCTCCAGCCTAACAAGGTCCAAGGCAGCATCTTCCAGTGGGCAGGGATCACAGCTTGATTCTGAGCTGCCTTTCTCCATTTAAGCCTATTACAAGTTAAAATTACAGAAACATAAGACCGGGCACAGTGGTTCACACCTGTAATCTTAGTACTTCAGAGGCTGAGGCAGGTGGATTGCCTGAGCTCAGAGGTTCAAGACCACCCTGAGCCAGAGCAAGACCTCATCTCTAAAAATAGCCAGGCATTGTGGTAGGCGCCTATAGTCCCAGCTACTCAGGAGGCTGAGGCAAGAGAATCACTTGAGCCCAAGAGTTTTAGGTTGCTGTGAACTATGATGCCACAGCTCTCTATCGAGGGTGACATAGTGAGACTGTCTCAAAAAAAAAAAAATTGCAGAAACATAAACACCCAGACCCAATAAATTAATAGTAGGGATCATAATATGACTGAAAATGCTTAAAGGGAGCCAAGAAACCTATCGCTGACAAGAGCTATTGGGACAAAATGACCAAGGCAGTTGCCAAGCTCACCTTCGTGCACCACTGGAGATCAGAAGCCAGCAAATCCTTTATTGTCATCCCATCTTTCCAAATCCCTAAAATCCACCCAAACTTTTCATTTCCTCTCTAGGATAGGCACATCAATCCAAAACTTCATGGCAAAACAAGTCATATTTTACTAACCACCATCCAATGTGAGTTAGGATGACTGCAAAGCTCGGTACTGCACTTGCTGAATTCAGCGGCAGCCCAGGCCTGCCTTGGAAAGATACCAACTAGTAGGAGCAACTCTGAGGATATTCGCTACACCTGCGTGCAAAACTGCCCCTTCAGAAGACATTCTATGGAAGCTTTTCTAAGCTATTCTAAGTCATGCAAAGAAGCCAGTCTCAGGTGGCCCCCAGCCTGACTGTCTTCCCCATGCTGCTAACTATCATCTGGTCTCCGGGGGAGTAGAGAAGTGTCGTCAGAGGGAACAGCAGCCCATGCCCTATGTGACTGTCCTGATTTTCTTTTTCATTTCCTTTTTTTGAGACAGAGTCTCCCTCAGTCACCCTGGGAAGAGTGCTGTGGTATCATCATAGCTCACAGCAACCTCAAACTCTTGGGCTCAAGAGATCTTCCTGCCTCAGCCTCCCAAGTAGCTGGGACTATAGGCACCCACCACCACCCCTGGGTAGTTTTTCTATTTTTAATAGAGATGAGGTCCCACTCTTGCTCAGGCTGGTCTCGAACTCTTGAGCTTGAGGGATCCTCCAACCTTGCCTTCCCAGAGTGCTGGGATCACAGGTGTGAGCCACCATGCCTGACCCACATTAATGAGTCTTAAGTCACTAATTACAGAACCCCTCAGCATTATGCATCCAAATTAGGGAGGGAACCATTAACAACCAATGAGGTCAGGGACCGCTCAACTGAAATGGAAATGTTTTCCTCAAGTAGAATGTCTCTGTGCATTTGTGATCACTGAACCCACTTCTGCCCTACCCCCACCCTGTTTCACAAACACCGGTAACAAAAATTTCTCTCTTTACAGTCTATGGTGCTCCTGCTTCACAGCCAGCGGCAGTACATCTTTGAATATGACATGTGGGACCGCCTGTCCGCCATCACCATGCCCAGTGTGGCCCGTCACACCATGCAGACTATCCGGTCCATCGGCTACTACCGGAACATATACAATCCCCCCGAGAGCAACGCCTCGGTCATCACAGACTACAACGAGGAAGGACTGCTTCTGCAAAAGGCTTTCTTGGGCACAAGTCGAAGGGTCTTGTTCAAATATCGGAGGCAGACCCGGCTCTCAGAAATTTTATATGATAGCACAAGAGTCAGTTTTACCTACGATGAAACAGCAGGCGTTCTCAAAACAGTAAATCTTCAGAGTGATGGTTTTATTTGCACCATCAGATACCGACAAATTGGCCCCTTGATTGACAGACAGATCTTCCGATTCAGTGAGGATGGGATGGTCAATGCCAGGTTTGACTACAGCTACGACAACAGCTTCCGTGTGACCAGCATGCAGGGCGTCATCAATGAGACTCCCCTGCCCATTGACCTCTACCAGTTCGATGACATTTCTGGCAAAGTCGAGCAGTTTGGAAAATTTGGAGTTATCTATTATGATATCAACCAGATCATTTCCACAGCCGTGATGACTTACACAAAGCACTTTGATGCCCACGGGCGCATTAAGGAAATTCAGTATGAGATATTCAGGTCACTCATGTACTGGATTACAATTCAGTATGACAACATGGGTCGGGTGACCAAGAGAGAGATTAAGATAGGGCCGTTTGCCAACACCACCAAATACGCTTACGAGTATGACGTGGATGGGCAGCTGCAGACAGTCTACCTGAACGAGAAGATTATGTGGAGGTACAACTATGACCTCAACGGGAACCTCCATCTCCTGAACCCCAGTAACAGCGCACGGCTGACGCCGCTCCGCTATGACCTGCGAGACAGAATCACCCGGCTGGGCGACGTCCAGTATCGGTTGGATGAAGATGGCTTCCTCCGACAGAGAGGGACAGAAATCTTTGAGTATAGCTCCAAGGGGCTTCTGACCCGAGTTTACAGTAAAGGCAGTGGCTGGACGGTGATCTATCGCTACGATGGCCTGGGAAGGCGGGTCTCCAGCAAAACCAGCCTCGGGCAACACCTGCAGTTCTTCTATGCTGACCTAACTTACCCCACCAGGATCACTCATGTCTACAACCATTCTAGTTCAGAAATTACATCTCTTTACTATGACCTCCAGGGACATCTCTTTGCCATGGAAATCAGCAGTGGGGACGAGTTCTACATCGCATCAGATAACACAGGGACACCACTGGCTGTGTTCAGTAGCAATGGGCTCATGCTGAAGCAGATTCAGTACACCGCCTATGGGGAAATCTATTTTGACTCCAATATTGATTTTCAGCTGGTCATTGGGTTCCATGGTGGGTTGTATGACCCACTCACCAAATTAATCCACTTTGGAGAAAGAGATTATGACATTTTAGCAGGGCGATGGACAACGCCTGACATAGAAATATGGAAGAGAATTGGGAAGGACCCAGCCCCTTTTAACCTGTACATGTTTAGAAATAACAACCCTGCCAGCAAAATCCACGATGTGAAAGAGTACATCACGGGTAAGCGTGCTTTTTTCCAAGTGCTGAATTGCTGTAATCATGTCGTTAATACACAAAATACATAGAATTGCCCCTTTTGAACTATATATTTTACTCGTGCAAATTCAAATCAAATGCCTCGAATACCCCTTTCAAGTGTATTCATTTCTCCATGAACTCACAGAGAAAGGACAAGAAAATGAGACACAGTTACTTCCCATTTTGCCTGCCAGTGCCTAAGGCCCCAGGTTCTGAAATGATATGGAATCCAGGCATTTAAAGAAGAGAATTGACAGGACGAGCAAAACACCTGATCCACTTGGAGTCCCCAGATTAGTTCCAATCCCACCTCCTCTCCTGAAAGTTGTGTGGCATAGTGGTTTTGAGATGCAGTTTCTTGCACCATAGAATGGGGACAATAATGCTACCTCATAAGATAGAAAATTATATAAATTCTACATTAAACAGTAACTACCTTACAAATGGGTAATGTTGGGATTTTGTTGTTTTCTGGGTTTGTTTGTGACAGAGTTTCACTCTGTCGCCCTGGTTAGAGTGCCACGGCATCACAGCCCACAGCAACCACAAACTCCTGGGCTAAAAAATCCTCCTGTCTCAGCCTCCCAAGTAGCTGGGATTGTAGGCTCCCACCACAATGCTTGGTTAATTTTTCTATTTTTAGTAGAGACGAAGTCTTGCTCTTGCTCAGGCTGGTCAAACTGCTGAGCTCAGGCAATCCACCCACCTCAGCCGCTGAGAGTGCTAGGATCACAGGTGTGAGCCACTGCACCCAGCCAGTGTCAGGGGTTTTAGTACATGTGTAAAGTTCTCATGGAGATACCTGGTATGAAACATAATGCAGTGACACCCTGGGAGGTGTTTAATTCCTTCGTCACCACTGCCACCTCAGGACAATAATGGAGCAGTTTCTCCCCATTAACTTGTTAGGCAACGGATCTAATGTCTGGTCTCCCTTGCGTCCTCTGACACCGCCATCCTTGTTGCCGCTCAGTGCAGTTCTCACTTGGTGACTCTACTTGCAGGCACACTGGTTTCTCCACCAATATGGGGTAATTTTGAAGGTATAGATTTAAGACCTTTCCAAATTTAGTGCATGTTACTTTTTTGGTTTTGCAAGGTTTTTATTTGTTTGTTTTGGGGGGGTTAATTTTTTATTTCAATGTAATCAGGGGGTACAAGTGCTTCATTGTTACAGGGATGAATTGCATATGAGTGAAGTCAGGGCTGTTACTGCCCCTGTCAGCCAAACAGTGCTTCTGCTCTATCCCAGAGATTTAAGGAGCTTGCATTGCCATTATCATCCAATTCAAAAAATTGTTTGATTTCCATCTTTATTTTGTTATTGACTCAAATATGTTTCGGCATCAGTTTGTTTAAGTCCCACATATCTGTGTAGTTTTGAGATTGCTCATGGAATTGATTTCTGTTTTTTCCACTGTGGACTGAGAAGTTATATGGTATGATTTTGATGTTATTTAATTTATTGGAAGTTGATATATGGCCTAAAACATGTATTGCAAAACGTTTCATGTTCAGATGAGAAGCTGTTACCAAATAATAGCACAAAAGAGAATGCAAAGCAAATACATAACAATCACCATGATGACTGGAATGGTATCCTCCATGAGTATTAAGCAAGGGGTCGATATTCCTGTAGGAAGTGATCAGAGACACTCTCTTTCAGGTCACAGTTGTGACCTTGTGATTTTTTGTTTTATTTTGGAGACAGAGTCTTACTCTGTCACCTGGGTAGAATACCGTGGCATCATAGCTTACAAACTCTTGGACACAGGATATCCTTTTGCATCAGCCTTCCCAGTAGCTGGGAATACATTTGCCTGCTACCACACCTGGCTAGTTTTTCTGTTTTCAGTAGAGATGGGTTCTTGCTCTTGCTAAGACTGGTCTGGAACTCCTGAGCTCAAGTGATCCTCCCGACTCAGCCTCCCAGAGTGCTAGGACATAGGGGTGAGCCACCTCGCCTGGCTAGCTTTGCAAGATTTAAAACATTGGATCTCACTTCTGCCACCACAGGAAGAGCAGGATGTAAAATAGAGATAAGGTCCTCGCAAGCTCTACTCCAGCTCCCTGCAACGAGCTGACCCCTTCCCTTGTGAACCCTCCTGCTTCCACCCCCATCCCTGACCTCCCTCTCTACCACATTCACATTTCTTGGAGGAAGTCTCTTTCTTACACTCTTGCTTTGGTTTGGTTTAAGGTTTTCTGTCTGGTTTGGCTTGTTGAGGTGTTCCTGAGGCAGACTCTTTTCCAGCTCACTGAAAGGACCTCCTGAGATATCTCTTCCTCTGATCTCAATATAGCCCTCAACGTGTTCACCATGCCGCCTCCTGCCTTCCCAGACTACTTAACACACGTCTCTCTTCCGTGTGTCCCTTCTCCAGCGACCCCCGATGATATTCTCATCTGGGTTTTCAGCACACTCTCCATTCCAGTCCCATGACTTGGGCAGTGCTTCTCAACACCGAAGACCCTCTGACGTTCACTGTTACACACTGTTCCGAGGACAAGAATTTTTCCCCCAGTACTCCAATAATGGAGGGAGAAATAATTTTCACCCAAATATAAGATTCCCCCCACAGAAGCTTGCCTGTGGTCTTGCAAGGGGATGTGTCGCTTTCCATCCCATGTGGACAGCCTGGAACGTTTTCCTCCCAGCACCGCTACCACCATCCTATTTAACACATTGCTGACTAGTCGCGAGTTACTGTCCAGTAATATGGATAGTTTCAGTGCAAAACTGCCCGTCAGCAATGTGTTCAGATGTTAAAGGCGCTCAGTGATTGTATGTTATAAGCAGCTGAGAGATGAAGAGGGGAGAAAGAAGAAAACAGGTTGAACTGGGGCAACTGGCAACTGAGAGTGGGGGGAGTGAAGCCGGGAGCAGCTGCTGTGTCGTCCATACTGTTCACCGGCAGCTTACGCAGAAACGATCCACAAGTAGCCGGGAGCAGTCAGCTAAGTGTTAACAAGAGAGCGAATATCACTGCTTTGCTACCAAATGGTGCCTGGACAAAGGGCCCACCGGGGGGCAGTGAGCTGAGAGTTTATGCCCTAGAGAAGGGGACAGTCACCTCCATCGTTCTGACACTCGGTGACTACTGGTTCCTAAGGGCCATTGGCAGGGGATGGCTGAAAGGCCAGAAAATGCACAGATCCTGAATCTACCCTCTCTTAGCAACTCGGACCGCAGGGAATGCCATAGCAGCATTTTCTGAAAAACATCAAAAGGCAGCGATGGGACAGCCTAAAATATATTAAGTGAAACGCAATTTCAAATTGTTCAGCAATGTGCCTAATACATAAAATAATCTACACCCAACTGTACTCACACAGCCGCAAACCTGCTGAGTAGTTCTGTAACATTATAACCTCCAGAACAGAATAAAAGCCTTATTCTGGGCTTAATGGGTTTGGGAGGCACATGGCAATATTTTAAAATACCCTTTTAAAGGTTTCCAGGTTTGCTCCCCGAAAAGTTTGTCTCCACTAGTGTGCAGTGGGCCTTTGAAGTCACAGCCGATGGTAATCACAACTTCCATGCCCTTGGCCTGCATCACCAGCTTTTAGCATTCATCTTTGATTAACAATCAAATGTTGACTTTAACACTCCTAATTTAGGGTTTTTATTAATAGAAAATGGGTCGTGGAAGTCCTGGGGCAATCGATTTTGAAAGCTAATGACACACAACTTCTGTTTAAGAGCAGCCTTCGCTAACTACAAAATCCAATCCCGTTGGTCTCCTGCAACTCTGCCTCCTTCTTGCTGCTGTGTGTTGTTATTACTCTTTTTGTCACCATTACGAGCGCAGGATGTCACTTAGCAGGGATGACAGTTTATCTGGTCTGTGTGAGTGTCTGTTACTCCAAAATGTTTGTAGCATTTGCCATTGTTGTCCTCTCAAGGTCATTGTTCTCCCAAGGTCTAATCAGTAGGTTTTAAATTATAGGATGAAGGCAAACATGGGTTCTTTTTGAGATTATTACTTGTGAAACTGGGGGGTTTTAAGGTAAGAATTTAAATTAATGAAACCAAGCTGGGTACAGTGGCTCATGCCTGTAATCCGAGCACTCTGGGAGACCCTGTCTCTACTAAAAATAGAAAAACTGGCCAGATGTTGTAGCAGGTGCCTGTAGTCCCCGCTACTCGGGAGGCTGATGTAAAAGGATCACTTTAGCCCAAGCGTTTGAGGTTGCTGTGAGCTGTGATGATGCCATGGTACTCTACCCAGGGCACAGAGTGAGACTTAGTCTCCAAATAAAATAATTAATGAATGCACAAAATAAATAAACTCTCAAAACCTTTCATTTTGAACATTCTTCTCCTAGATGTTAACAGCTGGCTGGTGACATTTGGATTCCATCTGCACAATGCTATTCCGGGATTCCCTGTTCCCAAATTTGACTTAACAGAACCTTCGTATGAACTTGTGAAGAGTCAGCAGTGGGAAGATGTACCGGTAAGAAACAAACAAGAAAGCCACGAAAGGTGATGCGTGTGGCCCCCTTGTCTTGTTTATCCACACTGAATCACGTTTCCCTTGTGAAAATTATACCAAAACGGTTTTCAATTTTTTGACTCTTTTTGGAGAAGAAAAATACCACTTCCTCCATATTTCTGTTAAAAGAACCAGAGCTTGTTAAACAGACTTAAATGTGTTTTTAGTGAGGCTAATAAAAGACAGAAGGTAATAAAACACAGAAGCTCACCTTTGAGTGCTGGGTTTCTACAGAAAACTCGTGAAAGCACATTTACAGCACATGCAACCCAAAGACAAAAATACACCAAGAGGGCGTGGGGTGGGGGGGAGGGGGGCAGCCAGGTTCATATTACAAATGAGTGACCCACAAGCAGTGCCACAAAGTTCACCTTCTTTAAAATATTAACAGTTTTTCATGGGAAGAGATTACAAAGAAAAATAAATGTTCTCTGGTAAGACTATCTACAACCGGGAGGGTTTATAGAATTTTCTGAGAGTAACATATCAAGAGGCCTGGAACGGTTATGAGAAATAAAATAAAAGAAATAGAACGGAAAATTGTAAAGTCAAAGGTGCCATTTCACAAAATGGCATATTCATCCCCCACCATTCAGACAGTGGAAAGGAACATGCCACAGAAACACCAGGATTCTAGCTTAAAGCAAGAATAATTAGAAATCAAGAAATTGGGTTACCCCATAATGATAAAAGAGCGTAGAGTTTCTTAGATTAATTTTCCCCTCCCCCTTGAGCAATTTCCTAGAATTTCAGTGACTACAAAGAGAAAGGGCAATCATGGTGAACACACACACACACACACACTACACACCGACACCAGTCTTTCTTTTTTCACGTGTCATTCTTTACAGAAAAGTAATTTCTTTTTCAAATGTTGCAAATATAGGCACACACTGTGCAGCAAGGTTTTGGTCCAGGAGCGACTGCACACACAACTGAGATCCCTTGATTATAACACCGCATTTTTATCTCACCTATTCTGTATTTAGATACACAAACCCTCACTGTTGTGCTAGAGCTGCACACAGTATTCAGTAAGTCACCGGCTTACAGTTCTGTGGCCTCGGTGCTGCACCAGATACGAGGTCAGACAACTAAGTCTCATACTCATCCTAGAAGTGCTGCAGACCTCACGGCTGGACATCACAGGCACTTTCAAGCTCCTCCACTTGGCCTTCTGGTGACCATAGCAATCTTCAGCCATGAGGTCTGTAGTACTTTCTCTAGGATGAGTTCACAAACTTCACTGGTAGACCCAGTACAACAACAGCTCTGATGGTCATTCCAGAAGAAGAGCTCCAGATTGCCTTGAAGGGTGAACTAGGTGGACGTTGGTGCCCAGCTTCCCAG